TGCACATCTAACTTATCGGAAAGTTAAATTTTATTAAATTTGATCAAATATATATATATATATATATATATATAATTTAATAAGTATCATTAGATTGGTCTTGGAATATACTTTATAATAAAATTATGAAAATACATATATTGGTATTATTTTTTACATACTTAGTCAAACATAAGAAAGATTAACTTCTCAATTAGTTGATATGTGTATTTATATTTATTTTAGAAGAGAGCAAGTATACGGCTATACCTAAGGTTGGATAACGAGCTGGCTTGGCTCGGCTCGGCTCGTTAAGATAACGAGCTAGCTCGGCTCGGCTCGTTATCCTAACGAGCCAGAAAGCCAGCTCGGCTCGGCTCATTAAAAGCTCGAGCTGACTCGTTAAGCTCGTGAGCCAGGTATAAAAAATATACAAAATATAATATTTGTATTTATCTAAAGTTTGAGAATAATAATAATATAAAAGAAATGCATCTAGACCAGTTACTAGTCAATCTATAGGGTCTAGACCAGTTACCAGTCAATTATAAAGTGCAAGACATGAAATAATACAAAAACTAATATAAGTTTTGATACTTTTTTTCCTGGAAGCTTCTCGTTTAGCTCGCGAGCGGCTCGCGAGCTGGCTCGAGTTGGCTTGTTATAGCTAACGAGCTAAAATCTTGGCTCGGTTCGTTATCATAACGAGCCGAGCCGAGCCGAGTCAAACCAGCCACGAGCCGATCAAGCTAACGAGCTTCGAGTTTTTCGTCCAGCCTTGCCTTAGTTATACCAGGCGGCCTCCGGGCCAGCGTGTGACGCTTTACAGCCGCTTGCATGTCTCTATGCCTGTTACTATAAAGAAGGAAAATATCCCCACAACCTTTTTTATTTTTAGAAATTTTCTTAGCTAGCTTTCCAGAGACAATACTTTGTTGAAACAACTCCTATATATTCGGCTATTCCACACGTGACCAATATGATGTGCGTGGTGGTCCGGAAAATGATCTATCTCCTGCCCCCATCGAGAGGCCAAACAGCAGTAGACGATGACGCGCATGCTTGCACGTGGTGCAAACGGAACATTCGGCTCTGTATACATCCATTCATTCACATAGTACTACACGCGTTCCCTTTACAACTTCAAATTCTTCTCCAAAACTAAAAAGGAATACCAATATTTTCTGTGGCCTAAGCCTAACTAAACGCATAAGCAAACGGTCATGCCAGCTAGCCGGTCAATCGATGGCAGATGAGCCTGACATGACGACGTAAGTACATCACCGACACACCACCACGAAAATGCAAAGCCCCAAAGTATATTATAATCCTTTCTGCCTCCTTCCAGAAACTAATATTATTAGCCAGGACAAAGGACAAACTGAAGGATCGGCCGGAAAAGGCCAGCCAGACAGCCATGGGCGGCGCCGTATGCCCCTGTATTCCATGGAATACCTATGATTTTTGTGACAAACACAAATATATGTATACATGTATAATAATACAGCATGTTAGTTTGTTGAATGTTGCAAATATGTAGCCCATAAGCTCAGTAGAACAACTAGTAGCAGCATCCCACGAACTTAGAAAGATAGAAACCCATCGATCGTACTCCCGTCACTGTCTCCTGCTCCCGTCCGTCGCTCGCATCGATCGGAAGGGCGGTGGCACGGTAGGTCGGCTCTCCCCCTCGGCCCTTCAGCCCTCGCCCGGTCGGCCCCTCGCCCATCGGTCCTCTGGCAGTCGGGAACGCGGCAGCGCCTTGCGCCCCGCACTCCTCTGGCGGCGGCGGCGGTCGGTGGTCTTTGCAGGCTCCCCCTCAGCTCCGGTGTCCAGGTGTCCGACCCTCCCCCTTGGCGCCTCTCTCATCTGCGGCTTGAAGCAACAGCACGACGAACACAAAAGACCCCAGATCCATTCTTGATTCTTTAGAGTAAGAATTGAAGGTTTCATTTTCTTTTTGTTGTTGTTGCATTGTGTTTTTTTTTTTGAAAGAAATGTTGTATTGTTTTTCTTATAACGTAGATAAAAGCTTATACTTTGATTATTACCAGGGATGACACTAGGTTCACTTTGCCTGGTGCCTTATTACTAGGGTAAAAAAATAATTTACCTAGCATATATTTTAAAAAATTATATATATACTACTTGAGCTGTGCACTAAGATTAATTTTATACTAGTTTTGTCTCTTATTACTATTGCATATCATCGAAATTTTTTTTTACTTGAAACCAAGCCATGAAATCCTAGCTCCGCCTCTGCAGACAGCGACGGGAGCCGCCGCCGACGGTGGTTCTTCGTACACGTACGCTCGGCCGCGGAAGAGCTAGCGAACGAAGGCGTCGTCAATAATGATCAGTGATCACCGAGTAAACTAATGGCCACGCCCTGAGTGCTCCTGCTCCCACTGCTAATACTAGTCTAATCAGCCCAGCTACGCGCCGCGACTGATTTGACCTGATCATCACCGCTGGCCCACGACGTACGACGCGCCGACGGGCGATCGAGGCCAGGTCATCAGCGACGATCGAGGGCTTGTTCGGCTGGCTTAAAGCCAGCCAGCTGACTTTGTTTTTATTTGATAACATTATATAATTACGACTTCGCCCTATATTCAAAAGATTCGTCTCATAATTTATAATTAAACTATGTAATTAATTATTTTTTTATCTACATTTAGTCACCCCATGCCTTCCTCTGTCTGTCCCAGCGTGCGTACGCGACGCGCGCATGGGGACGGGCGGTCAGGGTCAGCCTCGCGTATTTTGAACATACGTATACGTACGCGGGGACGGGGCGGAACGGACATCGGAGAGCGAGGAGAGGACACAGCAGTCAGCAGGGCGCGGGAATGAACCCTGCAACCACCGGGACCCCGACCGCGTACCCGGACCGACAGCCTCGTGTACGCTCCAGATTAACCCACCGGGCTGAGATACCAATCAACGGTGGCCCATGCAACCCACGGAGTAGTAGTAGTACTCCGTAGTACATTCGCCCACGCACACTTTTGTCGCAGACCTGCTTGCTACCCGTCAGTGATGGTAACCTACTGTACACTTTGTCATCACGCGCACACTCACTCACACTAGGGTACTACGGATCGACTGATCTGTGGAACTTTCCTTCGTTCCTCTTCATCCAACGGTGACCGCTCGACTGTCTGTGTGTCTCGGCGTTTCACCCTGACGCGGACAGCACCTGGTCACAAAGTCAGGAGGTCTAGAAGGCCACCCCAGCGCGCACATGTACGAACTAGTACAGGCGTGTTTTGCAGAGGTCCCAAAACAGCTCTCAATCCAACTGGACTGGGTCAGTGCAAACCCAGTACTGCATACATAGGAGTTTGGGTGAAACAGATCGAATCCAGTGCGAAAAACACTTGTCAGATGTGGGTTCGTTTGGTACTTCAGAAACGAAGAAATCAGTTCGACCACCACAACGACGCCGTGCCATCTCCGTGTGCCCGCGCGCAAGCGTAGGGGCTCCTCCGTCGAGATTCGCGGACCGCAACCGTGGGACTGCACGAGCCTGCGTGGGCCACCGGCGTGGACGCAGCACAGGGCGGTGCTAGCGCCCGTGCCGCGGGACATGCATAGGGGCTCTGCTCGACAACGAAAGGTCGAAGAAGCTAGGAAAGTGGCTGATAGCTGGGTCCCACGTAAATAGTAGCTAACGCGGTTCAAAAAACCAAACACGAGAATTGAGATGAGTACAACCCAACCTTCAGAACTGGGATAGGTCTGACCCATCCCATATTGTCTCGAAATCAATCACACGCTAAATTCACGAGGATGTCTACTAAACAATTTTTATCAAGAAGTGAATCTATATTGGTTGTGTGAAATAATTCTATAAAATCACCTAGCTAGGAGGCTGAAACCTAAACAAAAGTATTTTCTTCTAATTCACTCCACGCACAGGGTCAAGGTATGTATAGAGTTTATCTTAAAAAACCCTAGATAAATATTTCCAGTCAAAGAGTTAGCTTAAGAGAGAATCTAGAGTAGAAGAAAATCTACCTAACTTGCCTTACCCTTAAAAGAGAAGGGGGAAAAAAAGAGAGAATATTTGCATGAGTATCATGGGAGATCCCTCAAGCTTTAGAAAACGAAATGAAATCCAGCCCACAACCAGAGATGCCTTACTCTTGAAATAGAAGGGAAAAAAGAGAATATTTACATGAGTATCATGGGAGATCCCTCAAGCTTTAGAAAACGAAATGAAATCCGTCCCACAACCAGAATATAATAATATAATATAAAAACAAAATAAAAATCCCTGTGATAGTGAATCAAACAGCTCCACCAACGCCAGCAGCAGCAATAATGCGATGCGGTGCAGGAAGAAAGACTGGAACCCCTTTCCAAATAAATGCCGCGTAGAAAAAACGTGCATGTGAGTTGTGAGCCGGAGGAGAGCCCCTCCCCGTTCCCGCGTTCGGTGACGCCCCCTGCATGTGGCGCGCAGCTGCCCCCGCGCCGTTCGCCTCGCACGTCGCGCGCGCACGCACCGGCGGTGCTGTCCGTCCGGCCCCACCGGCCCGTCCACATCCAATCTCGCGAGGCCACGCTGGCTCCCCCGCTGACACCCTGGCCCCGCACGCGCCTCCCAGCGCATATCCCCGGATCCCCTGCGGGCGGCTATTAAAGGCTCCGCGGCCCGCAACGGGCGGCCCAGCGCTGCCCTGGCCTTCTTCTTCTTGTTGTGTCTGTCGCCTCGGGGCGGTTGAAATTAACGACGCCGAGACCGCGACGAGGCCCGGGCGGACAGCCGGACACCAGCGCCAGCGCCAGCGTAATACGGCAGTGACACGCCCGAGGAAGAAAACAAGCAAGCAACCCACCACGCCCCAGCCTCGTCGGTGGCCACCTGCAATCGGCGGCCAAGCCACAGCTAGCTACCGTGTGAGCGAGCGAGCCAGCCTCCGGGGCAAGGGAGCAAGCGAGCGAGGATTCAATCAGAGGGGTGTTCCTCGTCATCCGCCAGGAGGAGCGTCGAGGACCCCGCCACGGTCGGGATGGTGGTGGCGAGGGAGCAGCATCCGCCGCCGCCGCACGCCGGCGGCGCGCGTCGGCGGGGCGGCGGCGGCGGCGTGAGGGTGGGACCCGCGAGGCTCGAGGGCCTCCCCGCGGCGTGGCCGGGCGCCGCCGCCGTCAAGGTCAAGTGGCCCGCGCCCGGGGGCGCGCTGTCGCAGATGCTCACGGGGCGGTGGGCGCGCGGGGTCACCGCCGTCGAGGCCGTCGGCGCCGGCGGGACCGTCCGCTGGGAGCCGCGCGACGGCAACCGGTTCAGGCTCGACGTCGTCGACCCCGCCAGCGCCCGTGGCCGGCCGGAGCGCGGGGTCTTCTTCTCCGTCCTCTATGTAAGCGCTCTCTTCCTCCCCCTTCTTGATGATCAGTTTCTTCAGCCAAATCAAATCGCCTAGCTAAATAGTGTTATTACGGATGTTGCATATGCAATCAGTAGAAACTTTGCTAGATCTTTTGTTACACTGATTTGAACCTTTCCAACATGATTTGTTTCTTTAAGGTGTCCTGATTTCATTTCCACCTTCTACGAGCATAATTTAATATAAGCTCCGGTTTTTTTCTAGCTTAAATTCTAATCTTTTTTTAATCAACCTGTCGTTGATATTTTGTCGCCGCATTGGTGGTAAGTTGTGGATACCATTTCCTGCTGTGAATTGGAGGCTTGCGATGCGACCGCAGCTTCGGTGTGGTGTGCTCGAGGTCAATGCACAGCTTTCTTTTACCTGTAGCGGTCTGGTCAGCAATTGGGGAGGAGACAAGTCAAAATGTTGGGCTAAGCGTGCCTCCATAATCCTATAGCTTAGTGCTGAGCTCAGGAAAAAGTAGTCATCTTTGCTGGGAGCATTTGTCTAAAGCTTTATTGTGCGTGGTTTGAAATTGAACAGGGGGCCAGGGCCACGTGGGCTGCTCCGATTGGCCCGCGTAGTTTGACTTCAGTTAGGCTTACGAGTAGTTATTTTTATTTGGTTGCGAGATCTATGTCATGGTGTTAATTTTGAGGGTTATGTTCCAACAGTGGCACCCTCGCTTTCATGTGCGTTAAAGTTGCATTTTTCAGAAGGTGCTGTTCTGCCCCCAATCTTTTCTTTTCAGTGTTGATAATATGTGGTTTGTCAGTTTTCTTGTGACATTTCTGTTTCGTTCTTATTTACCAACCTTTTTATTTATAACTATTATATTTTTAAAAACCTTTTTGGGGAGGGTGAAAGTAATAAAGTAAAATTCAATTACTAGAGTAGCTTATATCGCAAGGAACCTCCCGTGGAACAGAACCAAAGTAGGCATCAAAGCATATCTTAGGTTCCTTCCAAAGCAGTAATCTTGAAGAGCAGTGCAAGCATTTACGTAGCAAGCAATGTTATTCCTTTGCCATTTCGGGGTAATCTTGAGACTTACAGTGGGATGGATCATCATAGAGTACCGATCAAAGCATCCACCTTCTAGCTATCTAGGCCCCTTTTTTGTGTGGATGCGTACGCTTGTAGCCATCGAGGCTGGCAATAAGAATTGCTTTGCGACGCAGGGATTCCAAGAACAAGGCCGGGGCAAGGAGCTGGTGAGGCTGGAGGAGATCGGGACAGCCATGATAAGCCTGGAGGAGTGCTGCTGGGAGATGCAACTGCAGCAGCAACGCCAGCAGCTGGTGGTTGTCCCCATCAGGGTCAAGAAGGACGGATGGGCAAGTGATGCCATGCTTTATGTAAGCACGATCTTCTCCGGCTTGCTTTTTCCCCACCCTCCCCCTCCCCTTTCAATTGCCTTGCCGGCCATTTGCAGTTTTAGTGGAATTGCTTTGGATTTGGATAATAGATATGACAAATGTTTGGTGGAAATGACATGTTCTAATGAAAGAAGTGTGTGCGGTTAATTGTTCAGGTGAACGTGGAGCTCGTGGATGTGAACACGCGCTCGGACATCGAAAGGGCAGTTTCGTTTAGGGAGAAGCCGAGAACGAACATGGCGCCGCAGCCGACAATGCGAGACAGCCGGAAGAGCTTGGAGGCAGCGACGTACGATGATGTTCTCGATCTGAAGCAGCTGCTTGATCTGGCTGAGAAGGAAGGCCGGGTGGCAGTGTACGGGAACAAAAGGAACTCAGACACCAGCAGCGTGAGCAGCATCAGCAGTAGCAGTAGCAGCAGCAGCATCACGATTAGCATCAGCAGTGCTAGCACCAGCGGCGGCGCGAGCCCAGAGCCGGCATCGACGTCGAAACGCCGGTTCCTGCCATGGATGAGGAGGAGCAGAGACTTCGACAAGAGGAGCACCGAGTCGCTCTCCCAAGAACTGCCTATGAAGTGCATGGTGAGCTTTTGGCACCTGATGAAATGAAATGTTCCTCGTCATGTGCACCGGCACTAACCGTGTCACGACGACGAATCTGTGTGTAGGATGACGATCCGGCCGGCAGCTGGGAGACGCGCGAGTTCACGAGCAGGGACGCCGAGACGAAGCTCAGGACGCCGGTGTTCTTCGCGTCCATCGACCAGCGCGACGACAGCGCCGGCGGGGAGAGCGCGTGCACGGCGCTCGTCGCCGTCCTCGCGGCGGCACTCCACGCCAACCACCCGACGATGCCCACCCGGCCGGAGCTGGACGCGCTCATCCGGGACGGCTCGTCGGAGTGGAGGAAGCTCTGCGACGACGAGGCGCACATGGCCCAGTTCCCGAACCGGCACTTCGACCTGGACACCGTCCTCGCGTCCCGGACGCGGCCCATCGCGGTGCAGCACGACAGGGCCTTCGTCGGCTTCTTCCAGCCAGAGAGCTTCGCGTCGCTGTCCGGCGCCATGTCGTTCGACGACATCTGGCGCGAGATCAGCGGCGGCGAACGCGAGCCGGGCCGCGCCGACGTGTACATCGTCAGCTGGAACGACCACTTCTTCGTGCTCAAGGTGGAGAGCGACTGCTACCACATCATCGACACGCTCGGCGAGAGGCTGTACGAGGGCTGCGACAAGGCCTACATGCTGAGGTTCGACGGCTCGTCGGAGATGCTGGCCGAGGGCACACAGGAGGTGATCGTCACCGGGAAGGAATGCTGCAGGGAGTTCATCAAGAGATTCTTGGCCGCCATCCCGCTCAGGGAGGAGCTGGAGATCGAGAAAAGGGGCGCCGGCAGCATCGACGGTGGTGGCGCGCCGCACCGGCGGCTGCAGATCGAGTTCCACTTCACAGTCCTACGAGACGACGATAGATGATCAGTTGGTGATACGACAGCAGTTGGGGGATGTTCCTTCCTCCCTGATTGCAGCATTGTACTAACATAATGTAAATTCATCTGTATATCTGTATACAGTTTAAAAGAAAAAATTTACAGGGTAGGATTGTTGGTTCTGGTTTTACCATTTAGATAGGAAACAGAACATGGAGAGGAAAATACAGGATACAAGAGTGCTGGTTGAGTACTTTTGTTTTGGCTGGGATTTGGGTCTATCTCACCCCTGCAATACCATTTTGTAGGCTAGCTCAGTATTATATGAATTTTACTTCTGTTGAATGATGATTCAGGTGGACAAGCTCCTCTTCTTCCTACTAAAAAAAGAAAACTTGTCGCGGTAAATCACAGTGAACGGGTCCTGAGCTCCTGGCTCGTTCATTTTAATATGTAAATTTCCTATCAAGAAACCATCCTGTGACATTACACTCAAGAATCATGACTGCAGACATACATCTTTGTTCACTACAATATCTGATGTCAGCTATCCTGAATCTGTATATGGGCCTATAAACTATTCATTCAGGTATATACACAGGTTGCAGGGGAGCTAGTCAGTTAATGATCGCACGCTGCATATACAAGCTCAGGTCAGCACATCAGACTTGTGTCCTCCGTATGCTATGGTTTGCTACCATTCAACCGGACTTCCTCCATAACATCAAGCTCCAACAGCGGCAAAACCTGTGTTTTGAACTCACAGCAGAGGAAGCAGCGTGTTCTTCTGCAGGGCCTGCAAGAAGGCAGCAAGAGTCTATCCGGCTCAGGGCCCAGTTACATGGGCGAGACAGGAGGGTTGCAATTGCCCAATGCTGTTGGCACACGTGCAAATATCTGGCTCCTTATGATACCGATGAATCTCTTTATTTCTTCATAGACTGCGAGGTTCTCTGGATAGCTTGGACGCAGCATTGACAAAGCGTGCTCCAAGACACCTGCTATGCTATCAAATTCATGCCACGAGTCGCTAAGGCGCTGCACAAAATTGGAACAGGAACATAAGAGATGAAAATAGCTTCTAACCACAGCTTCTCCAGTCTCGATAACAAGACATGTCAGTATTTTACCTTGATTGAAAGAGCCGTTGCGATGCATTTTGATATCAGGTCAGATGGATGTTGCATGCTAGGAGCAGATTCAGAACCTGGCCCTACACAACCTGTCGCTTGATTTGACATGCATAACTTTTCATCGTCTCTACCTCCAGAGTTTGCCTATATAACACATAAGCTTATCAAATGAAACTATGAGCAACATGTTGCACAGAGTCCAGTAATTGCCAGCTAGGTTTTAACATACCTGCATTTCTTCATCAACCATCTGCCTGGCTTGTGATAGTGATCTTTCTACAAATGCAGCTATAAATGACTCTAGCTCATCGGTGTGACCAGCATTATTGTCTGGGCAATCTCTAGATATTGTAGGGCCATCAGATGTACTCCTATATGGTGGTCTTTCATTATTTACAATAGATTCTGCCTGCAAATGAAGCATCAACAAAAACTTAGCCCTGAGATACTAATCATGATAATTGCATTTTATGGATGAGTGGAGGGCTAAGCACTGCTATGTGAATATTATATAGTTACTTAGCCTGAGCAAGTACTATATGTTGAACCTCACTCTAGAATTTATGAACCCTGAGGAAAAGAATTTTTTTTTTGAAACAACTGAGGAAAAGAATTTTAAACAAGATAACCTTAGGCTGTATATCTGATGTTAAACGCAGACTTTTGTGCCCCTCAAGTACAGTAGCTCCATTTACAGCATGGTCCCCGTTCTCACTTGGTGTAAGGTCAGGAATGTGATCCATCTCCAGTATGCTGCACGCATTATTTGAAAGGTAGCTCCTTCTCATGTTGTCAGGACGATTATACAGCCAATTAACTGGCATACAATCAGTGTCCTGAAACCAAATAAGTTCAGGTATGTATCTTTATGTAACATAGCATCAGACTGTCAGATTGAAATTCTAAAGCTCATGAACGCAGAAGATTGTGAATAAGTAACAAATCCTTTTTTTTCTCGAACACGCAAGAGAGCTGCGTATCATTATATTAAGAAGAAAAAGGGGCAACACAACCACAAACAAACATAAACACCAACACCAACACCAACACACACTACACACGCCACTCTAATATTTTGTGATTACAAGTGCGCCTGTTAGAACTGAGACAAGCGACCGACACCCCCAGACACCAACCTACTACTCTTCATGAGCCGGACCAGTCAAAGAAGAGAGGCTCCGCGCGCCTGCTATCTCCCAAAGACGCCGTTCATCACTAGTGACGCTGAGAGCTCTTGACATACTAGGAGTCGCTCCCTCAAATACACAAGCATTGCGATGTGTCCAGATAATCCAAGCCCCTAGCGCGACCAGGGAATTAAATCCCTTCTTTTGGTGTTCTGGAATTATGCGCCATGATCTATCCCACCATTCATCAAAAATAAGTAACAAATCCTCACCAAGTTCAAGGAAAATATGATCCAAAGTATAAGTACTAAAAATGCATCATAAAGCAAGCATGCCCCATGCCAAATCAAAGAGAAATTTGTATGCAGCATAGTCAGTACCAGATCAAGATTGCAGCTGGATGCGACAGCTACCATGCTGACAATCCACTTTTGAAAAGTTTTTTTTTTGTTGCGAAAACATGCTAGTAGTCTCCACATGTAAAGGGCAAAAAAGCTTGCCACTACATTTGCACAGGAATAGGCTTACAGAAAAAAAAAAAAACTAGAGCAATGTTCAATGAATTGTGAAATTGATTCTTCAAAGTGAAAACTAAAGGTTTGACGCTTAACATGAAAAAGGCCATCTTACCAGCATAATATAAAAAGTCTTACTGACAATTGATGAAAGCAGCTGAAACAGAAACTACATACCTTTACAATATCAACACCAAGGTCAGGATCATCAAAATGGACCTTGTAACAATCCGGCCCCATCATCACCACTTTGCCATCACAAAGTTCCCTAGAACTTGGATGACGAACAATAACCTGCTGACCAATTGAAAATGGCCTAGCTAGGTCTGCAGGTAGAGAATCCCGTAAACCATCACTGAGTTGAGCATATATTTTTCTAACTTGCTCACGATAATCCTCAAGTTTTTCTTTTTCCACAGCCAGAAAATTATTTGAAAATCGCCGTGGTTTACCAAGGGAGCTGCAGGAAAAATTTGTTCAGTGTATATAGCATAAACAAACACAATGCTGACAGAATTGACAATGAAACAAAGACTGTGTCCTCCAAGATTTGCTGGTTTATACCTCCGAATTGCGCTCCATTCTGATCTAGTCAACTTTGAAAGATGACTCAATTTTGCATGATCTAAGTAGTGCACAAACTCATTATTTGAAAACCATGGATAATCAACTGCGCTGTAGAACCACTCATATGTGCACCATCTACGAAGTGGTTGGGATGACAAACAGTGCAGCAATTTCTTTGCCTGAACATAGCCAACAGTTAGGATAGAAGTCTAAGAGCAGGGCATATCTCAACTTGCAATATTGACAAAAGGTGGCATAGACTACCTGTAAATTATCTGAACCTTCATTGCATGACATATGCTTTGTTTTGCAATGCATTTGAGATTTCCGTCTGGTCCTTCCAGACATTCTAACTTCAGGCTTGGTTTCTGTTTGTGCATTGGGGACTTCAGCAGAAATATCTTCAGATGCTTCTGGTATCCCCACTCTTCCAGAGTCAGTACACAAGAAAGAATCATCAGTGATACCAACCCTCAGTGTTTCCGGCAGGACTAAATTATTACCACAAATGTTTTGTGCTTTAGAAGGCACCTGTGACACAAAAAGAATGAGTGAGAGAGAGAGAGAGAGCATCATAAGACTATCTGAAGAGATTAACATTTAGCACAGAACATATCAATATTGACCGATATTTAAGATGATTTTGAATGATAAATAAACATATATAAACAGTGCACACCACCAGCTCAGAATAAATTGATCAAAATGAATGCCCTTAAACATTATTCCCAGAACATTATAAATTCAATGGGATGCAAGTGGCATTGAGTTCAAAAATGGAAGATAACAATTGAAGGAATGAACCAACTATGAGTGAATTCCGACAGCATAAGATACACTAAAGCAATTTCACAAGTTCATTAATCTCATCTTGGTTCCACCAAAACAAATAAATCATAACACTGACAAGGAAACAGTTGACTCAAAGTAGAAAATGAACATAGATGAGCCAATCGAATTTTATTTCCTAGATTGACCAGAAAAGGGACCATAAATTTAGATAGGAAGTACTCCCTCCGCCCAAAAAGGTCTAGAGTAGTGCTCAGCCAAAACATCTTAAGTTTGACTAAATTTATATAAAATGTTATTAATGCTTATCATACTAAAGAAGTATCACTAGGATTTGCCATGGAATATATTTTTATAATATACCTATATGGAGTCTTAAATGTTAGTACCATTTTCCATAAACTCAGTAAAACTTTACTTAGTTTGACTGACCAAACCTAGAATTGCATCTTTTTTGGGATGGAGGTAGTACATAAAACAAGGTTCAATTTATTATTTTTGTTTTTAAAAAAAAACTTACCTCTGCATCTAATATCTTCTTATGTTTTTTCTTCCTAGTCTTGGAAGCACTGGATTTACCAACAGGCTTCCCTTGTTTAGATACATCAATGATAGGGTGGTCTTCCTCCCTTCTGTGAGATAACACAGAGTCAGTTTTCCCAAGTGAACCTGGATCAGTACATGAGAAGAAGAGATACATAAGAAATTATCAACATGGCTAACATATAATGTGGGGAAAAAAAAGATGGAACTACGAGCAGTGACAGAAGCTGACCTGAAGGAATATTAATCTCTAGTTTTGACATTTTAGAGGGTGCATTCACCAGGCTATTCAATACATCCAAGACCAACATATCATCTGCAACCATAACAGAACAGAAGCAGTCAAATATTTTCATCTAAAACAGTACTAAT